GTATAAAGATGAAAGTCAGGTGACCATACATTTATTACCTATTTTTTCAGTTTAACCTCTTTTAGGACTTTGGTGACCAATACTATCATCACAAAGAATCTTTACTGCTTTTTAAACTTTAATTTTCATTATTCATTTTTAAATTACTAGTATATTTGACACCCTCAATAATCTAATTCTCCTGGTACCCAGACCTGATGCTGTATGAGGAGTCCTAGACCTGTCACTAGACTTAACAAACCAATTTTCTTACTCTTTCAGTATATGCAATGACCTGCAGAGTAAGATAAACAAACAAACAAACCAACCAACAAAACAAAAAAAAAGAGGAAATCAAATAAGATGCATATTTTACCCTAGAACAACATCCAGCAGCATTGTCCTACTACGCAAATAACACAAAGAAGTTCCACAAACCCACATTTGGCAGGACTGGGAATGGAGCCCATATCTCAACCACAACAGTCGTCCAAGCAGCAACCCTACTGCTCAAAACACCAGTCAGACACATAAACTTAGCTCTCCTGTCTGTACCCAGCACTTTGGTGCTACAGGATCATCCACCTTGACAATCCCACCAACAAAACACGGGCTTTATGGGCAACACTTCATTGCTCTCTAATACAGGTGGGGGTTATGGAGGGCACACAGAAGATCATTTCATTCTATCGGGTATTTTTTCCTCTTCTTCACAAAATAGTAACACAGGTGAATTTTTATTTACTTTGTGGTTACTTACTACAGGAAAGAGACATTAAGAGCTGTGCTGGATGGTCAATAGTTCAGAATAGAAATCATCCAGATAACCCTGATGGCTCCAGAGTACCAATGGCTGTAACGGTACAATAGGAGGAGTTTCACTTTCCATTATTACATTTTATGTTAGAAAAAACACACCAACTCACATATAAAGCAGCTTTAGAATGTGTCATAGTTTAAATCTATTTTAGTCTCACAAAGCACAATATAAAGTAAGATACAGGTGTTTCATGATTAAATCACCTGCCACATATGTCAGTATTACTACTTTAAATAGGAACAGTGAGCACTTTTGAGCACAGAGAGAGATTGGCATGATTTTGGGATTCCTTCAAAAAAAGTACTTGTTTGGCTTTAGCATGAGAAGAGCAAGGGACACACTGACAGCAGTCCCAGAGAGGATCAGATGTTTATCCCCACAGCTAAGACCAAGTGCAATGGGGTTTTAAAAACTGCATATTGGATTACCCAAACTATCAATTTTCCTAGCAAAAAATAGTATCCTAATAGGTCTTAGGTTTAAGATAAGGAAAAATTGTTCTGATTTTGAAGAATCACTTCAATAGTCAGATTTGCAACCTTTAAATCAGTTTTTGACAATGCACTGGTCTTCCCTCCAAAGAATTATATTCTTAAATAATAGCTGAGAAGAAATATTCCATTTTCACGATCTTTTAAACTGAACATACATCGTAGGAGCTTTGACTACAAACAGAAATGGCACAGTTTGCAACAGTAACAGGCCTCCAAATCTTTAAAAAAAAAAGCTCAAACGAACACTGATTTATAAAATGCAATGCTGAAATAATTTAGTTAGCTAAAACTAACTGCTGAGAAGTACATAAAATTCAAACCAGCCCCACTAATCTAATCAGCAAGAGCAGGAAACGTTGAGGATCCCCATTAACTAATAGAAATATTAAATGTGTCCATTATAATGCAAGATTTTCCTTTCTGTCAAGTCTCAAAAGCTCAGGATGGTACCAAGAAATAATAACATTTTTTTAAACATACATATAAACACACACATATACATACAGAGCATAGCAAAAGCCATGCATATAAAAGAAACTAACCAGTCTGACATATGGGATGTGTGTGATTTAAGCCTGATTCATGAAACAGTTACTCAAGCTTTCTTGGGAAAAGAGGAGGGAGAAGCAATCCCTTCCCTTCTGTTTTTTCCATTAATTAGAGCCTCAGGAGAGTTCACCTTCCAAACAATCCATTTGAACAAAGTTCCTATAAATCAGTTTTATCTATAAAAAGCTGCACATTTCCATCTTGCAGAGAGGGTAAGGCTTTTTGAACCACAGTTTAAGCAGACAGGGATACACTCAATTTGCTCTTTCTTCACGAAAGATTACAACAGTAGACAGAATACAATACATACTTTCTAAAACTAAACTGAGCCTGTGACTCAAGAGGCTGGTGTGGCATCAACAGAGAACAATCTTCTTCCTGAAATAGTCCATTTGCCATCTGTACAACTTACACACAGCAACTCATGCTATGAGAGACCACCCATTTCAAAATGTCTCTAAATATAACACTATGGTAGAAGACATCATCTGTTTTAAGAGTAATGCTCTAATACAGTCCAAACTGGATGCAATATTTAGATACTACCATAACATCAAGCAGTTACCACAGCCTAGCTTTGGGAAGCCAAATACACAGATTCAATTCACTTAGCTTTAAAAGTGAATTAAGCCAATTGTGATTAATGTTAAAGATAAAATATCATAAAAGCAAGGAGGTAAATTAAGTTGGATGATAATAGAAAGGAAAAAATTACCCACATTTCATCACTAACAACTTTCCTAGATGCACGTCACTGTCACAACAAAAATGTACAACAGCTCTATCTTCAGTTCACTTCTGGGCAAAATTAATTCACAGAACACTGCTAGGTCTCCAGTTACAGAGTCCAGCCCATGCACAGGGGAAGGGAGGATGGAAGGAATCTCAACTATTAGAATACAAACTGCAAAATAATTAGTTGCTCTTGAGAGGGGGAAATGACTCTTCAGAGGCATTGGAGGAAATGAGTCTGGAATTCAAACAACTGTACTGAAGCACTTGGATAGCAAAGTGGAAAAAAATCCAACATATACACTGGTCTAATACAATCCATAATGGTCAAAACAGTATATCATAATCCTTCTCTTTTTTAGTAAATATAAATAACTAGGAATAACTTCATTTTCTTCACTTTTCCCCTCCTTCTGTCTACAACAATTTGTAAAACATAATTATGGGAAAAACTTTGGATCTAGACTATGCTGAAATATATTATCTCCAGCCAAGTACATATAGCCAATGAAAAACCCAGGAAAAGAACAAAATACACACAGAGACAGACACAAAGAAAAATCCACCAGGCAATCTACTTCATTTCTATCAGACAATGGGAAAATTCATATGCTTGCTTAGTTCCAACAAACAGCATTTAAGGGATAAATGTAAATATAATATTAAATACTGTAGTAGACTAGGATTGCCATGGTGTGAACCAGTGCTCATGCATGATAAGCATCTGCCAATGCTGAAGAAGGTGGTTGTGAAAAAATTACATATTTGTCATGCATGGATTCTAACTACACCTTGGGTGTTCCTACGCTCCAGTGCATGTATTTTGTTAAAGGAAGGTGTATAAACAGAATGGAATTAATAAAAAATAAGTATAACATAAAACCCTCCAGATTTTGACTATTCCACCTACAATATAACTACCTGGCAGCATGAAGTAACTCTCTTCAAAGGCAGCAAGCAATTACAAGCTTTCCTATTTAAGCACATGTGCTGACTTTCTATTTATTTGCAACTGTTCGACAAAATTTGAGAAAGAACAAAACCCAAAACCACTACCACACACATACTGAAATCCAGCAGAGGTTTTTGTAATAATTAAAAAAAACACAGAAAGATACTAAACTTAACTTTGTTTACAAGCTCCATAGCTATGAATGCTAAACCTGACTTCAACACATGGATAATATAAAGAAACAATACTGACTAACCACCTTTTAAAAATAAAAGTGGCAGTGTGAGCAGAGCATACACATGTAGAAGGATACACAGCTAATGCTCTCATAACTAAAAAGAACATTAAGTATTTTCGTATTATATAATTCATCATACAATCTTGCTTAAGGACATACAAAAATACTGAAAGAGAAAAAAAAAAGTCTAACCTTATCAAACAAAACTTTAGATTGGACAGTAAGTTTGCTTGCACAGGGTCCTACTCAAGCTCTTCAAGACTCCCTTATACTGGGATTTTTCAGCTGGCATTTCTCAGCTACAAATTCTGCAGAATGCTTTTACATGTCAAAATAGAGATACCAAACTAAATATTGGTTTTTGGTTTACATCTCTCCAGAAGAAAGTGTAAACAATTATCACAGTCTTAAATGGGCCACTAGGTAGCATCTAGATGTTAGCCTTTGTCTTTAAACATCACTCTTGTTCTGATGCATTTGGAAGAGAAACATAGGGGTCATACAGAGTACATATATTCCTGTAGTGTTAAGCCCTACATGGTTTGTGTCAGTCTGCTATAATAATCAAGGCAATTTCTAATCCATGTAAAGACTTTATGCTATATTATCTGGCATAGTGTCAAACATTAAAACTAGAATTTTAATAGCAATACAGTAACTGTATGCTGTTCAAATCTTGAATTTCACCCAATGGAACAAACTCAGTTTCATTTCAGTACAATTTTGACTCCTGCAGTGCTTGAGTTTGCAGCACCACTAATAGGACATATAAATCCAATTTCTCATTTATACTAATATAATCATTAGGCTTCCCTTTTTAAAATCCATTATCAAACCAACCTACTGAAACCATAAGTTTACTATTTTCTTATAATTGTCTAATGTATACTATATGTTGTATTCAATTTAAAGAGAAGTCTACATAGCATCACACTTAACCAGTCTAACTTTCTGTAAGTTAGGCTGATGCAATTGTATAAACAAACTTTTCAGTTACCTAAGCACTGCAGAACTAACATTTACTAATATTTGAAAAGAATACAGAATTAGGTCTTTACTATCGACACAAACCCGCAAAGCTATACTCCTGTTTCCAGTATTAAGTGTATGTATAGGCTTTACTCAGTACATAAATTTACAGCTCAAGAATTAGCAGTTTAAAAGTGATTAGTACAGTTAAAAGCTATACCAAAACAAAATTAAAACCTATTCAAAGATAATGATTTTTGGTTTTACCTGAAAATTAACATCTTCTTTCTTGAATATTAGTGCTCGAACTTCATCCGGATCTCCATTAAATATAGCTTGAACCAATGGTGGCTGAAACAAAGCAAAAACACAGAATAAACCCCCATTTTAGGTTTTAGTGATACACATACAGTTTTTTGATACATAACAGAAACACAAGATGATGATAAAACAACATCCCAGGTAGTGAAATAAAGAAACCAGCAAGAGTATTCAAAATCAAAGAAATTCCAAGTTCTAAAACCCTCAAACACACAGATATAATCTAAGCCACTGACAATATATAAAAGACAGAAAAAAAAAAAAAAGAGTCCAGAGGACGAGCTTATAACAGCCGAAAAAGCTGAAAAGGGAACACCTTATAATAACATTAGGGTTGTTCTTATGTGCTGCAAATTCCATATAGCATAAACAAACAGTGCCCTTTTGCATTAGCAAGTGACTAAAGTTACTGCAAGTCTTTCACCTGTTTAGACAGAGTGGGAAAGCAAAGTGCATCAGATAAGCATGGTAACAAATTCACACAGGCCTATCTATTACTAAATATAGCGAGATTTCTTAGTAAGTAAGAAAAGCTGCTGAGGTACACTAGCAAGATTTAAGCCAGTCAGTTGAAAAACTAAATAAATTTGAAGCAATAAAAGCATAACCCCCAGTGCTGATAATTTCTAGAAAGTGGTACCTTGAATCTAATAGTTATATCAAGATTGTGACTTATGTTAATTTTTATTTTAGCTTAGAATTTCTCTTGCTTAACTATATACTCTATCAGTTCTCAAAATAAGCACAGTATATTATTACAATACAGTGATCACATCTGTTCCTAAAGGGGTACTGCATAAATGTACCACTGAATTGAGGAGTGGAGCAGGGAAAATACATTTCTTTCAAATACATTTCTCTAAGCCTTCTAAAAACCCTTTGCTATTACACAAGAGTTGAGACCTGTTATTGCTGCACCACAGATAAAGTTGTATGAAAAAGAACAGACCCCTTGCAAATATAAAGTCTACCGCTAAGTTTCAGCTTTTTCCATTCTTAGTAAGGCAGATTTTACCACCTTGTCTTGTTTCAACATTGTATGTATTCATCCTAATCTTAGGAAAACAACTATTGGTATTTGCGACAGCATCATAAGCAGGAAATATGCCAACAAACAACATGCCTTACCAGCACATTTCCAGAGGGCGATGGACGTAAAGATAAATTTTCCTGAGGCAAATTGGAAATAAATGTGGGAGAATCATCTTCCTCCTCCTCCAAAACAACAATACAGACTCGACTCATTCGAACAGTTTGAATAAGCAAAAGCAAACAAAAAAATGCTAGAAGTGGTATTTTTGGAACCAGACGGCAGGTATAGCAGTAGGGACCATAGAGGAAATACTTTCACCTGTTTCACATGCCCTTACAAACTTGCGAGTGCTACCGCTGTTGTATTTGCATTTAAAAAGGGACATTCCAATCCCCCCTCACACTTCATTTTTCAGATTTAAGCACCCTGAGACGTTCAAGATACTGCTGAAAAAAAGTTGTTCTTTTAAAAATAAAAATTCCCTAGGCATCGAAACCACAATAACGAAACTGTGGAACAGCTGATAAAAATATCCCAAGATCCAATTCCATTCGAACAGCACTCACTGTCGCACACAGCTGTCCTTTCACGAGCAAATTTGTCTTTGTTAATGTCACAACTTCCACAGCGTCCTTCTACCCCCACAGTGAAACCATTGTTGCAGAAGACACGACTCGGTCCTGCCGAGGACAGAACAAGGAACAATTGCCCCGAGAGAGGCGGCCGCAGCTATTCCCCGCTCCCGCAAGGTCAGTTTTAAACCAGCCGTCGCAGCCCTTCTGGTGACTGAAAATAAACGCGCCCCCTGATCATCCTGCCGTTCGACAGCTTCCTCTCTCAATGCCACAAACAGCCCGGCCAGAAAAACGCATCTCGGTTCCAGCAGCTATTCAGGACCTGCTTAGAGGAAAATAATTCTTTCCCATGCAAGAAAAATAGCTGCAACGTGCAGCACGGCTGCAGCACATTTACATGCGATGAGTCAGAGCACAGGGACAATGAACTCCTTGAATAATGTTGCCGGTGGAATCCAGCCTCCCCAAACGATAGCGACGCAGCCGGTGTTACTCCATCAGGGACACAAGCAATGCGGAGCGTTCATTTTTCCTTTACCGGGCAGTAGCTGTGGCTTCTCCATCGGGGAATTCGCAAGGCAGAAATACTGTTGAGGAGGAATGCTTCAACAAAACAAGCTAGCTACCGCACACAAAAGCTCAAATTACTGCCTTAGACGACTTCTGCAAAAGCAGTTCATCACTCAAGTGTTTCTTTTGATCACCATGTGAATGCAGTTCCCATGATAGTCTTCATTCAGATTGAGGGGGAGGAAAAAAAAAAAAGAAAAAAAATCAGACCCCGTACGTCTTCTCTGAGCCAACTTCTTTATTCGAACATCTGTCACTGCGCCAACCTGATTCTCCTCTTCAGCAAGAGCTTCTGCTTATCAGGTTTTTTTCCTTGACAAGCTGAATTACACAATCAGCAGATAGCCTTGCAAAGCTCAAAAAAAATAACCTGGTTGTCCGAGTCGGTAGGAGCAGAGCAGAAGCCACTGGCACGGCAGCGTTCCCCCTTGAGCAGCAGCCTGGAGAGCAGCGACTGCAGCCTGGCAGGGTGAAATGCCTAGTAATGCTCACATGTCACACTTACCAGAGAACCCAGTCACCGCTCCCACTGCAACTTCCTCTGGCACGAAAAAAAAAAAAAAGTGCCTTTTTCTTTTTTTGGGGGCAGTCTTTGCAGTTATGGCTGTGCCAGTTTGGTGACTAATGCAGCTGAAAACGTAAAAATCCTATAACTGAAGAAAGAGCGACTGTTTTAATATTTTCCACTGAAAGCCGCAAAGAAATGTGGTGTACTGGCTCTGCTGACTAACTACCGTTTAGGCAGTAAACAATTCCAGCACTTTAACTGCTTTCATATGGAACTGGTCAGAGCAGCAAAACAGTCCCCACTTAACTCATTGAAGACAAAAATCTCCCCACATAAATCCTCTGAAAATTAAATGAAAAGTAAAATCTTAAAGCAATAGGTTGACTATTAAAAAGACAGATATTAATGACCAAACCCATGGTTTTTTGCAACTAGGACAAAGATACCCTTGAAAAAAATTACATCAATTATCATTTGAATATAATAATATTATTAAAATATACCATAAAAAAAGAGTAAAATATAAAGCCCTACAACTTGCTGAATAAATACTTCAGCTTGTATCTGCCTAAATGGTGCTGGCTTGTGGGTGTATTATGTAAATGGCTTCTGTCAAAAGTTGCTGGATAAGCTTCAGTGTTACAGGAACAGAGGGAGGGTTTTTGCTCCTGCTGTGCAGCATAAAGGCAATTCTGATGTCCTTCAGTGGCTGCTAGGATCAGAATTTGTCAATGGAGAGCAAGTTTATAGCTTTTCAATAAAGTATTTGCACTCAGGTTTCACATATGAAGCCAGGCAGAGAGAAAGACAGGTTTAAATGGTGTGTTAAATGGTTCGGATATAAATAGACATATTGAATTCCCACCTTTGGGGGTCACAGGCAGGAAAAGCTTACATTAGCTGTCTTCTGCAATAATGTTTTCAACAGCTTCACTGCAACATAATATATTGCTTAAATGCCCCCCGGCCCCCCCAATACTTCATGTAGGTGAAGGTTTTTTAAGTGCAAAAGAGCACTTTGGCTAAGGGCTCCCTGAGCTCAAGACTCCTGGCCTGGCAGAATACAGCACCAGTTTCTGATTCACCATGAAACTTCATATTAAAATTTCCCAAGTCTCAAAAACATCTTTATAAAGATATTCTGTTCATTACATAGAGTCCAGTTGTTTTGAAATTTCATACTTCTGGTCTTCATTACAAAAAACCAATTATTTGTACTCTACACTGCTTTGTTCTAGCATCCTAACCATTTATTAAAAAGAAATAACACAGATTCACATGAATACATATGACATGTTCTTCTTGGCCACAGCAGAACCAGTTTTAATAAAAAATGGACATCCTCAAGGCTCAGCTACTGCAACACCCTATTGTCTGCTACACAACACAGCAACCCCAACATAGAAGACAGTTTGTTTTCTCTTTGTGACAAATATCCTATGGAACAGACATGGTAGCTTATTTCCACAACTAAAGCTTCATTTTTTAAAAAAAAATTAAAAATCAAATTTTAAGGCTACAAGCAAAATACTGACAAAACCCATACTTGAGTTTCATACAATACACACATACTGGCTAGATAATGGTTTTCCAGCTAAGTCCGTATGTTTAGTGTAAATGAAGAGTCAGTACATTTATACAGTAAGCAAAGGCCAAGCATTCCATATCCTTTTGTTGGAATTACCAACTGGACATATTGCTAGGTAGAGATAATGCCCAATTTAGTTCAAATTAACTGAACATTGTCCATTTTTGAGCTTTGCAATTAATGGTCCAAAGTCACTAGAAGTTCTGAGAAAGACTGAAAGTCTTCACACTCAGTTAATTGCAAAAAACCAGAATATTTTAATCCACTCTGATAAGTATTCTAGATATCTTAAATATTATTAAAATAAAATTAATATAAACTATTTCCAAAAGCAAGTTAACATATTATATCTTGCCTAACATAATACATTTTTGAATGGTGACATTACTACAGTCAAAGAGTTAAAAGCCAATACGTCACAGTTTGCATTAGAAAGAGAACCAACACAACTGAGTCAATACTATATTGATGTCTACAGTAATTTAAACCATGTAAATAAGCAGACAAAAAAACCCCTTCTCACGCTAGGGCTGTATGTGTGCAATTACTTCCAGAACCAAAGGAAAACCCAGTTCTAAAAACATTTAGTTTTTGCTCACAATGAACTTGCATTCTCCCTCCCATTCCCTTCAACCAAAAGCTGTGCCTTCACCTCAATGCAAACACCTTCTCTAATCATCTCTTCTTTCAACTTCAAAAAACCATCCAAGGTATCCTCTGGTGTGCAAAGTACAGTTTTTAATGCTACCTAACAGGTATTCTGAAAACTGAAAGCTGTTCACAATTCTACTGAAAGAAACTAAACCAAGGTTTCAATTTTTTCAGCAGATTATATAGACTAACAACTTTTAGTGTGGGAGAAAAGGTAATAGTAACACAGAACGAAAGCAGAGTAGATTAAAGAGGATTAATTTAAGTCTCCTCTCTTCAAACTAATTTAGGAATCATAACAGATCTCTCCAAGTTATGAAGAATATTGCATCTGAAAAAAACCCTCTTCAGTTTATATTAATAAAACTTAAAATAACTGAAGACAGCAGGTCATCACCATCCATCTTCTCCAAATGTCATATATTTCCAATAAGAAAGCTTATTAAATTAGTAGTAGTAGGAAAGAAGACCCAAAAATGGTCTAACTTAAAAAAAGAATGCCATGTCTACTGGGGCTTGAGTGGTGATCTACCTGATAGCCTCCATGATATCTGTTTGCAAAGTAAGATCTCCATACTTAACTCTCAAATTTCAAAGAGTGCATAAGGATATGCATTGTTGAAGAAAAAAAAAGAAAAAAGAAAAAAAAAAAGCTTTTGTGTTGACATGATAGCTGTATGCAAATAAAAAATAAAAATGTTGCAATTTTCAAACTACACTTGCCCTTAAGTAAATCAAGTTCCAACAGTCTTTCATGGCTGCATATAAAGAAAACATATGAGAATGCAACCTACAGGTTAAAACACAGATGTCAGCCATGTCTACATCAGACAGAAAAAACATGAATTCTGAATCAGCTAAAAATAGCAACCTTTTCTATAGATCTGTCCTCTTCTCTAGAAATGGATGAGCAGAAACTGTAGCAGCACTGCTGATGACACTGAAAACCTCGCTGAAGCATATTCAATATTAAAAAACCTACCTAAATAAAGATTTCTCCTTTGCCAATCAGCATTTATCAAGTTTTTTCTGGGCTGAGATTAATCCAACTGGTTTCATTTAATATTTTGTATAATTAAGGATCTAGGAAAGGAAGGAAATTGTTCTGTCAGGTTCTAGTAAAAATGAAAAAATTCAGAACCAAGTGAGTCTTAAGTATCAGCTCTGCAAGGCAAATACCTAATCTGTGGATTTCTTCAGATGACAAAGAGCTACAACTCTAAGTAAATAGCCATGTCCCAGTATTAGCAGATTTTTATCACACATAGACAGAGATGAGTGTTTAGCATCACCATGAATCTAAGTTGCAATACTTCTAGAATACTTCTCATGAGTCACTCCCCTGAACTTCTCTGCTGTTTCCTTCCCACTCCTGAGGGAATGAGGTGGAGTCAGGAAAGAGAACAGTCTAAAGCAAGAAATTACTACCTTTCTTCCCAATTTTGCTATGTTTATTCCAGAGCTTATGCACAGCTGGGATGCAGGAAAAGGAGAATGGTTTTAACCTTTGGACTCCACATTTCTGCTTCCAAGGACAAGCAAAATAGCTCTGCTTGCACCTCCAGATACCATAGGCAGTTCCTATTTCTTTTTCTCATGCAAGTATATAGCCTCTGTTAATCTAGAGAACTATTTTATGTAGTCATATATTATCTTTGAATTAAGACTTTACAATTAATAAAATCCAGTATCTGAACAGTCATCTCAGCAAAAACTGAGACACAAATACAACAAAGAAGAAAAATAATCCAGCATTCATTCTAACTTTTCTCAATTGGAGCAGCATAAGAAAAATTAATAATGTAAAATGTCTGTGATTCAGATAAACTTAATTTGTATACTTAAGCAAACTGTAACTTTTGAAAAATACTTCAGAAATATTATCTGATCAAAAAGCAATAAAATATCTTAAAAGTGATAGAAGTCTGTAATTTTCTGTTTAAGGCTTCTTGTGCATTTTATATATCTGAACAATATACCTGCAGAGAAACTCTTGGCTGAAGAACCTTACAGCCACCGTAGTACAAGATAAATTAATACCTTTAAAACAATTTACCTCTGATATCCAAAATATGAAGTCTTTCAATCTGAAAAAAACCTGAGAGCTGTGCACAAACCAAAAACCAGAAAAGCAAATACAAGTCCTATTTCTCTTTAAAGAAGGTGAAAATAAGAGGGTACTGAATCTTTGTCACTATTTTCTAGCTAGGATGTCATCCACAACACTTCCCTTTAAGGCCAGATTTAAATTCGCTGGCAGGAGGGGTTTTTTGTGCACTTTTAGTGTACAATCCTGTAATCAAAATCATGAGTGCGTTCTTACATTAACAAACAGCACATAAAAGATGTCCTCCAGTCTGTCTGACTTCAGAGTCTCAAGGTATTTTGTAGAAAAAGCACATGTGCTCTGGCTGGGGGCTCCTATTAATCAGATTATCAGCTGCATACAACAGGAGCCACCTCCCTGTCTTCTGACGGAAACAGAAGGCAGCTATTACACCCAATAGCTTTTCTAAACAACAACCATAGAAGTCTGACATTGGTATTGTCTGTCTTGTAAAACTGACTAGAAGTCAAAACAATTCCTGTTTCAGGGAAGAGAGACCACAAAAAAATGTGCCTATCCAAATATATTGATTATAAATAGTTAAGGTAAGTTTGCATCCATGAAGACAGACAAATAGATGTTGACAAACAAGGT